TTAGGTACCGTCAAGTGAGCTCTGCCCTGTCTTTTGTCATCCTCACAATCACTGACACACTCAAGGCCATTGCAGAAGTCCCTAAGTCATAGTTGTTGAATAAATAATAACTCATAACTGACACTTCAGCTGATTTCAGAAGCTGTCAACCACACTGGAGAAGAATAGTGGATTCAAACCAGACGAAAGGCAGTATCTTTTGGTTGGCAGTGCAGTCTCTATGGATTAAGCCATCAGAATTCCCCTTCTATATTCTTTGCTGTAAATCATCGATCAGAACCAGCTCATACATTATCCTCCAGCAGGTTTTCAGAGCCATTAAATTGCATAGGAGAAAATTCCCCATCTTGCTCCCATGGAGCAGCACTGGCCTAATTGCCCCTCAGTACTTTAGAGGGGGTCCCTAACATCAAATTTTCTCAATGAAATACCTTTCCTAATGAAATTGTTGACAGTGTCACTAGTTTGTCTATCTATCATGATGTTGTCAATTGGCCCATTGGCTAGGATTTTTTGTTTTCTTGATGTTGAAATGCAATCCTTATTAAAAGCTGCAGTCTTTTACCTTCTGCAAATGTTTTAAATCCTCATTTTTAGGACACAAGGTTGTGTCATCTGCATAACACAAGTAGTTAATGAGTCTTCCTACAATCCTGATATCACATTATTCCTTATAAAATTCAGCTTCTCAAATATATATTCAGCATACAGGCTGAACAGGTAGAGAGAAAGGATATAGCCCTGACAGATATGCTTAATTTTAAATCATACAATGCTTCCTTGCTCTGTTCAGAAAACAGCTTTTTGGTCCTGATATAGGTTTCTTTGAACATAATAAATTATTTTGGGATTTATTCTTCTTAAAATTAACCATGGTTTGTTATAATCCAAATTGTCAAATGACATTGCATAGTCAATAGTGTATAAATAGATATTCTTCTGGTATTCTCTATTTTCAGACAAGATTCCTCTAAAATCAATAATTATATCTCTGGTACCATATCCTCTTCATATATCCACCTTGAACTCCCAGGTTCACCTTTTGGACTTCCAGAAACAAAACAGATCTGTCATGGGAAAAGCCAAGCTGCTCCTTGGAGGCAGGAATAAAGAAACTTCATCACACACTTTGGACATCTTCTTAGGAGGGGCTATTTCATACATAAGGCATCTTGCTGTACCAGGTGCAAGCCTAAACGAGAAGACCCCCAGAAATCTACTCCTTCCCCATTCTGCAGTACAACTGCTGGCTTCTGCTGGAGCCAGAGAGACTGTCCTGCTCCATGATATTTATGTATGTCTGATTGTTTCTACGGTTTTCAGATGCAAGTTTGAATTCACTCATTAGTCTATTTCAGGAAATTTGGAAGACAGCTACCGGATAAACACACTGAAAGAGATCCATGTGTCTTACTATTCCTAAGAAAGTTATTCCAACAGAATGCTGAAATTATCCAACAGTATCATTAATAATGATGGATGGTGAAGAGATTGAGATTATTCACAGCTTTAGTTTGCTTGGCTCCACAGTCAACACTCTTGGCACCAGTAGCCAGGAAATTAAGAGACGTATTGCCATGGGAAAGTCTGTTGTTTGGGACCTCTCCAAAGTACTGAAGAGCAATGGTGTCTCTCTGGAGACTAAGGTGCGTCTAATACAGGCCATGGTCTTTGCAATCACTTGTTATGCATCAGAGAGTTACACAATGACTAAGGAGGATAGAAGGAGAATTGATGCCTTTGAGCTGTGGTGCTGGAGAAGAGTATTGAGGGTACCATGGACTGCTAGGAAAACAAACAGATTCATCCTGGAGAGGGTTAATCTGGGTGGCTCCTTGGAGGCAGGTATTCTGAGGCTCCATCTAACATACTTTGATCATGTTGTAAGGAGAGACCGGTCCTTGGAGAGGGACATCATGCTAGGGAGGGTGGAGGGACAGCGCCATGCTTGGGAGGGTGGAGGGACAGCGCAGGAGGGGAAGGCCCTCTATGAGGTGGATTGGTTCAGTGACTGGGGTAATGGGGATAGGAATGTCAGAGACAGTGCGATTGGCACAGGACAGAGTAGAGTTTAGGGCTGTTGTACATAGGGTCACTATGAGTCGCAAGCGACTCGGCAGCACATAACAACATCATTAATAATAGAGGCAAGTGACATCTTGGTGAAGATAATCTAGAGACTGTTGGAACAGTACTATGATGGGAAAATGCCATTGA